TCGGCCTCAGCCTCAGCCTCAGCCTGCCTCAGCCTCAGCGTCAGCCTCTCAGCCTCAGCCTGCATCAGCCTCAGCCTCAGCCTCAGCCTGCCTCAGCCTGCCTCTCAGCCTGCCTCAGCCACAGCCTGCCTCAGGAATGGTGTTCCGGGAACACGAGGAACAAGAAGTGGCTTACGGTTGGCTCCAGGCATTCAAAATGTGGCTTGGGAACTGTGTTCCGGGAACACGAAGAACACGAAGTGGCCTACAGTTGGCTCCGGGCATTCAACATGTGGCCTGGGAATGGTGTTCCGGGAACACGAAGAACACGAAGTGGCCTACAGTTGGCTCCGTGCATTCAACATGTTGCCTTGGAATGGTGTTCTGGGAACACGAAGAACACGAAGTGGCCTACAGCTGGCTCCGGGCCTTCAAAATGTGGCCTGGGAATGGTGTTCTGGGAACACGAAGAACACGAAGTGGCTTACAGTTGGCTCCGGGCATTCAAAATGTGGCTTGGGAATGGTGTTCTGGGCATGGATTCCTAAGGATTCCTAAGAATCCCTAAGGATTCCTAAGGCTGCCGGATCCTGCCGGATCCCCTGTCCGGGTCCCGCCCAGACCCCCTTGGGGCGTCAAGATGGTTTCTTTTGACCCCACTAGAAACCTATCAGCAAGAGCTGTTAGGTAAAAATAGTCCCCAGACTATTTTGGGATTATTTGTTGGAGCATTCTGGGGTTATTTTCTGATTTTTCGTCGAAAATCCCCCCTGTATGGGGGACACGCCCGACTCCACTCTGGGAGCTTCTGGGCGCCCCCCGGGGCCTCCGAGCAGCCTCGGGGCGCTTTTTTCGGCGGACCCCCAGCGGCCCCCCGAGCGGCCGCGGCGCAGTGGCGGTGCCCCGCGGGCGGCCTCCGAGCAGCGCGCGGGGGCCCGAGCAGCCTCCGAGGCGCCCGCGAGCCTCCCCGCCGGGAGCGACGGCCCCCCGCCGAGGGCCCACGGCACGCGCGCGCGCGGCGGTGCCGACGGCGGCGGAGGTCGGCCACGCGCGGAAGGGGGGGGCAGGGGGAGGGGGAAGGCCTCTGAGAGGCACCTCTGGTCCCAGACATCGGGCGTCTCGAAAAGATATCGAGACAGAGGTTCTGCACAGTTTTTGGCCTCTCGGGGCCCTCTGAGAGGCACCCTTGGTTCTGGGACCCCGACATGCGACGTCCTGAGTTTTTTTTCAGGACGGCGCCCCTGGAAGTCCCAACCCCTTCCCTGGGGCGGGTCTTTCATCCTGAGTCCTTTGTTGACGGTCCCGAGGCCCGGCGAGGGCCCCCCAGGGCCGAAAATGGCCAAAACCTGCCCGTCCTGTTTTTCCCAACCATCCTGTGGTGTTGGGTCCTCGTTTTGAAGAGACGGTGCCCCGCGTCCTCCTCTCCTCTCCTCCTCCCCCCTCCTCCCTCCTCCCGTCATCATCATCATCATCATCATCATCATCATCATCATCATCATCATCATCATCATCATCATCATCATCATCATCATCATCATCACCATCATCGTCGTCATCGTCATCGTCATCGTCGTCGTCATCATCGTCATCATCGTCATCATCACCATCATCGCCATCATCATCGCCGTTATCGCCACCATCATCATCGTTGTCATCCTCCTCCTCATCATCATCATCATCAGCATCATCATCACATTCATCATCATCAGAATCATCATCATCATCCTCCGCATCATCACCATCACCATTACCATCATCATCATCGTCATCATCATCATCATCATCCTCCTCCTCCTCCTCCTCCTCATCATCATCATCATCATCATCATTATCAGCATGCGTCCCCTGCACCCATTTCGGCACACCCCTCACACGTTTCGTGGCCCCAAAGGGAGCTCCACCGAAGGCCCCAGTGGCTGCGCTCGCATGCGGTTCCACCCCCCTTTTCGGCACACCCCTCACACGTTTCGTGGCCCCATAGGGAGCTCCACCGAGGCCCCAGTGGCTGCGCTCGCATGCGGTTCCACCCCCCCATTTCGGCACACCCCTCATACGTTTCGTGGCCCCATAGGGAGCTCCACCGAAGGCCCCAGTGGCTACGCTCGCATGCGGTTCCACCCCCCATTCTCGCACACCCCTCACACGTTTCGTGGCCCCATAGGGAGCTCCACCGAACGCCCCAGTGGCTGCGCTCGCATGCGGTTCCACCCCCACCCCCCCATTTCGGCACACCCCTCACACCCCTGCGTCTGCGCTCGCATGCGGTTCCACCCCCCTTTTCGGCACACCCCTCACACGTTTCGTGGCCCCACAGGGAGCTCCACCGAAGGCCCCAGTGCTGCCGCCCGCATGCGTCCCCCACACCCATTTCGGCACACCCCTCACACGCTTCGTGGCCCCACAGGGAGCTCCACCGAAGGCCCCAGTGGCCGCGGCCGCATGCGTCACCCACACCCATTTCGGCACACCCCTCACACGCTTCGTGGCCCCATAGGGAGCTCCACCGAAGGCCCCAGTGGCTGCGCTCGCATGCGGTTCCACCCTTCATTCTGGCACACCCCTCACACGTTTCGTGGCTCCATAGGGAGCTCCACCGAACGCCCCCGTGGCTGCGCTTGCATGCGGTTCTACCCCCCATTCTCGCACACCCCTCACACGTTTCGTGGCCCCATAGGGAGCTCCACCGAACGCCCCAGTGGCTGCGCTCGCATGCGGTTCCACCCCCCCATTTCGGCACACCCCTCACTCGTTTCGTGGCCCCATAGAGAGCTCCACCGAACGCCCCAGCGTCTGCGCTCGCATGCGGTTCCAGCCCTCTTTTCGGCACACCCCTCACACGCTTCGTGGCCGCATAGGAGCTCCACCGACCGCCCCATTGGCTGCGCTCGCATGCGGTTCCACCCCCCATTTTCGGCACACCCTCACCACTTTTCGTGGCTCCATAGGGACTCCACCGAAGCCCCCAGTGGCTGCGCTCGCATGCGGTGCCACCCCCCATGCTCGCCACGCCCGCACACGTTTCTGGCCCCATAGGGAGCTCCACCGAACGCCCCAGTAGCTGGCTGCGCTCGCATGCGTTCCACCCCCCATTTGCACAAACCCACTCGTTTCGTGGCCCCATAAGAAGCTCCCCGAAGGCACCAGCGTCTGCGCTCGGCATGCGGTTCCACCCTCCTTTTCGGCACACCCCTCACTCGTTTCGTGGCCCCATAGAGAGCTCCACCGAAGGCCCCAGCGTCTGCGCTAGCATGCGGTTCCACCCCTCTTTTCGGCACACCCCTCACACGTTTCGTGGCTCCACAGGGAGCTCCACCGAAGGCCCCAGTGGCTGCGCTCGCATGCGGTTCCACCCCCAATTCTGGCACACCCCTCACACGCCTCGTGGCCCCATAGGGAGCTCCACCGAAGGCCCCAGTGGCTGCGCTCGCATGCGGTTCCACCCCTCATTTCGGCACACCCCTCACACGTTTCGTGGCCCCATAGGGAGCTCCACCGAACGCCCCGGTGGCTGCGCTCGCATGCGGTTCCACCCCCCCATTTCGGCACACCCCTCACACGTTTCGTGGCCCCATAGGCGGCGCCGCCCCATTTCGGCACACCCCTCACACGTTTCGTGGCCCCATAGGGAGCTCCACCTAAGGTCCCCGTGGCGCAGTGCGCATGGCGCCGCCGCCCCTTTTCGGCACACCCCTCACACGTTCCGTGGCCCCACAGGGAGCTCCATCTCAGGTCCAACTGGCGCAACTCGCATGGCGCCGCCGCCCCATTTTGGCACACCCCTCAAAAAAAAAAAAAAAAAAAAAAAAAAAACAAAAAAAAAAAAAAAAAAAAAAAAACAAAAAACAAGAAAAAAACGTTTCGTGGTCCCATAGGAGGGAGGGGGAAGGAGGAGGAGGAGGTAGGAGAGGGAAGGAGAGTGAGGGGAGGAGGAGGAGGAGGAGAGTGTCCACGGCGCAATGAAAGGAGGAGGAAGGAGGGGATGAGGAGGGAGGAGAGAGGGAGGATGAGGGAGGGAGGAGGAGGCGGAGGAGGAGGAAGATAGGAGGAGGAGGAGGAGGAGGAGCAGGAGGAGGAGGAGCAGGAGGAGGAGGAAGGAGGACCAAGGAGGCCTCTTGGGCGGTCCTGAGACCATCTTGGGCCATCTTGGGGCTGGCTTGGGCCCGCTGGAGCGGATGGAAGTTCATGGTGAGTTTTTCGGGTGCGTAGAAGGACAAGAACATCGCAAAATTTTGAAATGGATTTTCTGGGGCTCGTTGGGTCGCACGTAGGTCGGTGGCGTAGAAGGACAGGACCATCGCGAAATTTTTGACATGGTGTTTTGCCCTCGTTGGAGCGCCCGCTTTGCGCCCGCGTTTTGGGACGGTCGCACGTTGGCCAGTGGGAATATTGTACGGGAGTTGATGGAAGTTCGTAAGGGTTTTTTCGATTGCGTAGAGGGAGAGGCTCCCATTCATGAACATAGACTCGCTCGCACGCAATCCCATTCACAAACAGACGCACTCGCGCTCAGACTCATCCGCGTTCAGTCTCTCGTAATCAAAAATATAAAAGTTTCCTTCGCGTTGTGTGCCCCCGCCACACATTTCGGCACGCCCTTCATGCGGTCCGTGGCCCCGTAGGGAGCGCCACCGAGGAATAAATATCCACAATTGCGGTATTCACAACTACGTATGGTTGGGTCTCTCGTCAGGCTAATTTTTTGTTTTACGACGCCATCATGGGCGGAGAAGAGCGCCGCAGCGCCGCCCTCCCGGAGAAGAGCACAGCAGCGCCGCCGCGCCCGCGCCGCGAGGCGAGAGGCGCGCGCGCGCAGCTTTGCGCCTCCGCGGGGTGGCCCCCGCTCACTCGCCCCTCCTCACTCGCCCCTCCTCCTCCTCCTCCTCCTCCTTCCTCCTCCTCCTCCTCCTCCTCCTCCTCCCCCTCCTCCTCCCTCCTCCCCCTCCTCCTCCTCCTCCTCCTCCTCCTCCTCCCTAACCGCCCTCTGCACTCCGCCAGAAGGGGGGGCCGCCCCGTTCGGGCAGGTGCGCGCGCCCAACTGGGAGCGGATCTGGCCAGCGGTTCCCCTGGAGACCGAGCTCTGGACGGCGGCGGCCGCCGCGCCGTCGTGATCGTCCTCGGCATCGGCCTCTCCTCGTCGTCGTCACCATCGTCGTCCTCGTCATTCCTCCTCCTCCTCCTCCTCCTCCTCCTCCTTCTCCTCCTCCTCCTCTTCCTCCTCCCCTGCGTCCGTCTTCATCATCCCATCAACTCCCTCTTGTCGCACCACCAGACGCGTCCGTATGCCACACCAGGCCTTTTGCTTGAGATTCCGTTCATAATTACTCACGTGAGTCTAGCAAGCTTCGTAGTTCAACAGCTACAGGGACGGAGACCGGCTCGGTTTCAAATTGCGGCTTTCGTTTTATCAGCACGATTTGAAAACAATTGGTAGAACGATAATGGGGGGTCAAATGCGGATATCGCTGTAGTGCCATGCAGGATCCATTAGGGAAAATTGTTGACGCTTCGCGTATCCCCACCAGCCCATCCAGAAACGATGCTCAGGGGAGTTGAGGTGATCAGGGAAGTCGGGGAGCATGCAGAATAACAAAGGGCGGGGGAAGCTGTCACAGACCCCGAGAGGGGGAGGATGGAAGAGGAGTCGTCGTCGTCGTCGTCGTCGTCGGAGGAGGAGGAGGAGGAGGAGGGGGAAGAGGAGGAGGAGGAGGAGGAGGAGGAGGACGGAGAAGGAGGAAGAATCGGAGGAGGAGGAGGAGGAGGGGAAGGAGCTTCTTGGGGGTCTTTTGAGGGCCTCTTGGAGGGCTTTTTGGGCGCCTTGGGGCATCTTGGGCGCCTCTTGGGACCCTCTTGAGGCGCTCTGGGGAGCCTTCGGGGCGCTTTTGGGGCCATCTTGGAGGGAGTCGATCAAACAAGAGGGGGGGTTTAATTAGCGTCCCCCCTCGGAAGCCCCTAAAATCGCCTCTTGGACCCCTCTTGGAACGCTCTTGGAGTGCTCTTGGGCGCTCTTGGGGCCGTCTTGGGGCTCTTTTGGGGCTCTCTTGGGGCCCTCTTGGGCCATCTTGGAGCCATCTCCAGGCCTCGGATGGCCATCGGAAGCGAAAAGGCGAGAAAGCAAAAATCATTGATTTTCCTTAGGTTTTGGGACGATTTTGGCCTCTTCGGGGCCTCCTTGGGGAGCTGTTTGGCCACTTGGAGTTATCTTGGGGCCGTCTTTGGGCTTCTTGGAACCATCTGAGGAGCCATCGTGAGCGATCTTGCGCTATCTTGAGCCATCTTGGAGCTCATCTTGGGTTCTCTGAGGCGCTCTTGGAGCCGTCTTGGGCCATCTTGGACGCTCTAACTACCCGCGGCCCCCCCCGTCCAGGTCCAGGGGAGGGGGTAGGGGGAGGGGTAAACCCCTCCCCAAGGGGGAAGAGGGAGGGGTGGAAGAGGATCTGTTCTAGACCACCTACGCCCAGAGGGCTGGTGGGATTCCAACCGCTACAAGGACGTAGGCAGAATATGTTTCCAGTTGGGTTTATCGCCTTTCAGCCTGTGTGACCCAAGGTCCCCACATGTGCAGCGGCTGCACGGACTGAGGGCGGCTGCTCCTCAAACTCTCGGGCTTTCGCCCGAGACGCCCGCAGATCTTGCGACCCGAGTGTTGGCGCAAGTTTGCGACGCTCACGCGGATTGAGGGCGGACCCTTTTTGTTCCCAAACGGGGCCAATCATTTGACATGTTCAGGCCACTCCTTCCTTGTCCCTGCCGCTCTCACCGATCATCCCCACCTCCACTTTCAGGTCGGGGTTCGTGGCAATATCAGGTTTTCCCAAGCGGGGCAAATCATTTGACATGTTCTCATGCGCCCTAAACCCCAGCCCGTGCTCGTGTCGTACGGCGGGAAGGCCCACGGGGCGCTTTGACAGCCCGGGGGGTCTCGGCGGAGTGGCAGGCCCACTGGGCGCTCGTCGTCGCAGGGCTGCGCCCCCCCCCCAGGGACTTCTGCAGCATCGTCGATGCATCCCAGCTTTACTCGGGCGCCCCCCCTCCTCCTCCTCCTCCTCCTCCTCCTCCTCCTCCTCCTCCTCCTCCTCCTCCTCCTCCTCATCATCATCATCATCACCACCACCACCACCATCATCATCATCATCATCATCATCATCATCATCATCATCATCATCATCATCATCATCATCATTATTATCATTATCATTATCATTATCAGCATCGTCATCGTCATCATCATTATCATCAGCATCATCATAATCATCATCATACTCATCATCAGCATCGTCATCATCATCGTCATCATCATCAGCATCATTATCAGAATCATCATCAGCAGCAGCAGCATCACCATCGTCATCGTCATCGCCATCGTCATCATCGTCATCGTCATCGTCATCATCAGCATAATCATCGGCATTGGCATCATCATCATCATCATCATCATCATCATCATCATCATCATCATCATCATCATCATCATCATCATCGTCATCGTCATCGTCATCGTCATCATCATCATCATTTTCCTCTTGCTCCTCCCCCTCCTCCTAGATGGTTCGGTCCGCGGCCATCTCGTCCTGGCCCGCACACCAAACCGATAGACGGCGCCAGCCCGATTCGGGCACCGGTGCAAGACTGTCCTCCCTGCGCCGCCCGAAGGCACCTGCCAGGACGCTTCCCCACGCCGCCCGAGGGGCACTGCCAGGACGCCTCCCTGAGCAGCCCGCAGGCACCCGCCAGGGCGCCTCCCTGAGCAGCCCGAAGGTGCCCGCCGAAGGTGCCCACCTCGGCACGACTGGCGGCGCAGGCGGCATCGGCACGCGGTCGGCCATGAAAGGCCTCCTGGCCGGCCGCGGCGGGGCGCCATCTTGACGCACCTGGGAGGATCCATGGCCATCTTGGAGGCACGTATGGCCTCCTCCTCCTCCTCCTCCTCCTCCTCCTCCTCCTCCTCCTCCTTCTCCTCCTCCTCCTCCTCCTCTCCGATGGGCTCGGGGCCTCCCCCACCTGCAGCCGCGGATACCTGCTGCTTCGGGCCTCCCGCTTTCGCGCTGCAGTCTCTCCAGACTGCGCACTCACCCCGAGGTCTCCTGGGTCAGCGCCCCATCCATGCAGATGTCGCCCAGTATTCTCCAACAGGAACCACCCCAGACCACGCCGTGCCAGGGCCTTCCCAGATCGCATCTGGCGACGCCAATGAGGGCCCTACCCAGACCAGGTCTGTCCCAGATACTTCCCGGGCCCAGAAGGGCAGGGCGACAGCCAATAGTCTCAGGCGCCTCTCCACCTCTGGCAAGCGGGGGTCGGCGGGTCATGGCCGACCCTCTTCCTCATCCCCAGGGCCCCCGTTCGCGCGCGTCGGCCGCGGCCTCCGCCCGAGCACCGTTCGCTTGCGCGGGAGCGGGGGGATCCTCATCCTCCCGTTCCTGGTAATATGGTCCCTCTTGCTGGTGGCCCTTCCTCACCTCCTGCCCCTGCTCTCATCCCACTCGCTCCCTGCCCCCGGCTCATCACCCGTTCTCTTCCCCCGTCCACTGTTCCCCCGCCTCATCTTCTCCCCCTTCCCCCACAATGTCCTCCCCCTCCTCCTCGTTACCGCCCTGCCCTCTTCCTCCTCCTCCGCACCCAGGAAAGGGCCATATCTGACATCCTCTCCCTCCCATCCCAGGCCATTGCGCTGAGATTTCCGTATCCGCGGACGCGTGTCATAGCCGAACTGGAACCCCACATCAGACCCCATCGTGTTATACGCAGTCGGGACATGGAAACATGTGGGACGTGTGCGACCAGGGGGACCTGTGCGGCTCGTGGGGCCTGCGAGACCTGCGACAGCGGCGGAAAAGGGGAGGAGGAGGAGGAGGAGGAGGAGGAGGAGGAGGAGGAGAAACAGAAGGAGGAGGAGGAAATGGATCATGAGCTTTCGAAGTGAGGACCCTTGACATCCCCTCGCTCCCGCCCCTGCTCCCCCCCCCTCCCCCCATTTTCTCTCTCTGTCTCTCTCTCTCTCTATTTCTCTCTCTCTCTCTCTCTTTCTCTCTCTCTCTCTCTCTCTTTCCTCTAATTCCCCCTTCCTATATCATCCTTTCCGTCGCCCCCACTGTCCCCCTTTTCTCCTCCTCCTCCTCCACCTCCTCCTCCGTCTCCTCCTCCTCCCTCCTTCTCTTCCTCCTCCTCCTCCTCCTCCTCTTCCTCGTCCTCCTTCTCCTCCTCCTCCTTCTCCTCCTCAGCGTCCCTCCCCCCGTTCCTCCTCGATACATATCCCTTGTATCAATACTTGCTCCCTGTCGCACCCCGAGGCGCTTCGGTCGGGCGGGCGCGGCACGTCGCGCGAGACGCCCTCGCCAGTGATGGCCAGGAGCTTCAAGAGTGGAGGGCGGGCCGCTTTCCAAAGGGAGCTCTCGCCTTAGCGCCGGGTGCATGCCTCCCAAAAGCTTCAACAGCTTCAAGTGCGAAGGGCGGTGATGTTTCAACTGTGTCTCTAGCCTGGGCGCCGCGCGCATTCGGTGTAAAATGCTGCAGCCCTTTCAAGGTTGTGAGGGGTGCGATCTCGAACTGGGGCTCCCACCTCAACGCCGGGCACACTTGCATTAAAGGTTCGCAACAGCATCCTGGATAGAGCGGTCATTATCATGATGGGTTCATTCGCTTCAGCGCCACACGCATGTGTATTACAAGCTTACAACAGTTTCAAGGAGTGGGTGCGGTTCCTTTCGGGTGTTGGTCTCGCCATGGTGCCGTGGACAACTGCTTGCAAAGCGCACAAACTGTTCAAGGATAGAAGGGGGTAGTTTTCATCATGGGGTCTCTCGTCTTAGCGCCGCGCGCATTCGTCTTACAAGCTTGCAGCAACTTGAAGGATTGAGCGGGGTGCCTTTTCAAAGTGGGGCTCTCGCCTCATTGTCGCGTCGATTCGTGTTGACATCTTGCAAGAGAAGCCGTTTTCACAATGGGTCTCTCGCGTCAGCGCCGCGCGCATTCGTGGCAATAGCTTGCGACAGGTACAAGGATGGAGGACGGTCCTGGTTCAAATCTGGGCTCTCGCTTGCTACTTCCATTTTTTCAGATTCGATTATTCAGCTCACGTGGCACTGCACGGAACTGGGGTTGCTCCTTTTCAAAGTGGAGCTCTCGTTTGAGAATTCTTCGATGTTTAGGACCAGAACTGCAAAGTTGCGCAACAATTATACGGATGCGGAGAATGTCCTTATTCGAAAGGGAGATCTCGTTGGACCCCTCATTAAACTGTATGGCAATGTTGTTCGCAGCCTTGACCATGCGCCAGAAGGATGCAAGGCGTTGTTTTTAACGGCCCTCGCTAAAATCGCAACCTCATGTGTCGCACGCTTGTTCAAGGGGGGCCTTTTGTAGCACAAAAGAATTATTGTAGGGACGTATGAAAGTTGGACTTGTATTTGGTTTCCTCCGGTCCTCGTCACGTCCTCCCCCTCCTCCTCCACCCCCGTTTCCTTATGTGAAGAATTCCGCCCTGTCGCCCCCCAAGACGTGCCAGTAGGACGGGCCATTCGTTTTTCGTGCGCCGTCCTCACCGCTCGTGAGACTGAAGCCTGAGATGTGTAACACCATCATGGACAGAGGGCGCGTCTTTTTCAACATGGGGTTCTCGCTTTCGCCGCCGCGCACATTCGTACTAAGACTGAGGAAACCGCTTCGACACTGGAAGGCGGGCCATTTTCCAAATGGTTCTCTCCGTAGCGCCGCACACACTCGCCTTACAAGCTTGCAGCAGCTTCACAGATGTAGGGCGGGCCGTTTTCAAAAACGTAACCCTCGTCTGAGCGCCGCGCACATTCGCTTCAAAAGTTTGCAACAGATTCAAGGATGGATGGTGGCTCCTTCTCAAAATGCATCTTTCGCCTGAGCGCCGCGCACATTCGTTTCACAA